TATTAGGTATTTAACCGCCGCAGTCAAGGTGTTAAGAAGGGCAAGAAAACACTTATTTATAGGACTCGTCGGTAGCATAGCCAACATGCTACCAACAACATAACATTTATGACTTGATATTGTTATCTGCGTATATGCCACGCTTATTTGATCCACAGATGGTATTTAATTTCAAATTATTAGTCGGTTTCGCATAGTATTACAAATGTGCATCCAATTTTTGTAATAATTTATTTTTGAAATTACTGATTTTATATAAGTACTGAATAATGTTTACTGTGCAAACTTATCAATTTTTAATGGATTTCATCTTTGGAAGTCTTTGGAATAAAGCGACCAGATCAGAGAATATATCTGAAGTTAAGTTTAGATAGATTTGAATTCAGTGCATAATTCTCATATGTGTTGTTCAGTTCTTTTTACCACAAGGATGAAGCCAAATGTAAAAAAACTTCTGGATGAGCTAAAAGACCAGCCAATTTTTAAAAAATACTGGTCTTTTAATTAAGGTTACACTGAAGGTTACACTGTACCAAAAAGCGCTAATAAACGTATATACACAGATACCTAGAAAGAAATATAGGGATTAAGAGCCAAAAAAGCATAAAAAATAAAAAATTGTGGGTAAACTACGGAATAAAAACTATACAAGTTACAAAAAAAGAAAGGCTTATATAGTGCTTCGCAATATTTTTCTTTCTCTCTCTCTCTCCCTCTCGCCAATGTACAGCTACGACTCCAATCGAGCCTTGGCCTTTTCCAAAGTATGCCTCCAACCTTACCGTCCCGCGCTGATTTTCTCCAGATTCTCACGTCTGGTCTATCAAATTTTTCGCATTCGCTGCCACTTCATCCTGCCACCTTTTTCTACTTTACATTTTACTATCTAGGGCTCATTATTTTGGCAATCTTTGGCTCACCATTCTTAATACATGACCAGCCCTTTTGAAGTATTTGAAGTTTACCGAATTCTGAGATAGGTGTCTTTTTAAATAGTGAGTAGAGTTCGTCTCCTTCTTCTTTGAGTGCCTCTCCTATCGGAGATTGGATATCATTATGGCGATTCTAATTTTATTAACTGCTGTTTTGAATAATTCGTTAGTGGTACAGCCAAACCACTCTCTTAAATTTCTCATCCAGGACATTCTTCTACGGCCTGGATTTCTGCGTCTTTGGATTATTCCTTGCAATATATTTTGTAGGAACGTGTACTTTTGTCCTCGCATCAGGTGGCCTAAGTATTCAATTTTTTTTTTATATTCATAATAACTTCTGAATCGGTATTAATTCTGCGTATTACCTATTCATTTTTTGTAATTCTATCCACCCAACTTTTTCTTGGTATACGGAGGTAGTACCACATCTCAAAGCTTTCAAGATTTTTAATATTCCTCTGTTTAAGAGTCCATGCCTCAACACCTTAAAGCAAAGTACTGAATACATAGCATTTTAACATTCTAGTTCGTAGATGAATACTAATATTACGATTACAAAATCATTTTTTCATTTTTATAAAGTTAGACCTGGCAATTTCAATACGTCTTTTTATCTCTTTACTGTGATTTTGGTCACCTGTTTCATTATTGGGGGTTCCCAAGTATTTTTATTCGCTTACTTTTTTAAGTTGGGTACCGTTTATTGTAATACTGGTGTCATGAATTGAATTCTTACTGAAGGTCATATATTTGGTTTTTTTGACGTTTATCCTTATGCCGTAGTTATTACATATCTTATTCATACTTTCCACTAGATGTTGTAGATCTTCCACTATCCTTTCCATTATCACAGTATCGTCAGCATATCAAGTGTTACTGATAACTTCTCCATTGACTATTATCCCTTCGTTTGCATGTGAGAGAGCTTCTTAGCATATTTGTTCGCTGTAGATATTAAACAAAAGCGGTGATAATATACAACTCTATTGTACTCCTCTACGTATTCCTATTTCGTCCGATGTTTGGTCTTCTACCTTTATATTGGCTCGCTGATTCCAGTACAGATTTAATATTATTTGCATGTCTCTGGTGTCGATGTTCTTACCTTCCAGGATTTCTTTGAGTTGATTGTGGCGTACTTTGTCTAAGGCCTTTTCAAAGTCTATAAATCAGGCATGCACCTCTTGGTTATCATCTAGACATCTCTGTGTTAGGACATTTAGGGCAAAGAGAGCTTCTCTTGTACCTAATCCTTTTCTGAATTCCATCTGTGTTTCGTTAATATCGATATCTAACTTTTGAAAGGTTCGGTTGTGGATGACTCTAAGAAATATTTTAAGCAGGTGATTCATCAAGGAAATTATTCGATGATCTGAACATTGCATTGCCTTAGTTTTTTTCGGTATGGTGACAAACGTAGACAGCAACCATTCTTGAGGTATTATACCAGTACTGTATATTGTATTTAGATGTAAAATTATGGTTACGGATTTATCATTCAAAAGCTTCAACAGTTTTGTAGAAATTTCATCAGGTCCATTTGCTTTTCCATCTTTAGCATTTTTAATTGCGTATTCTACTTCTTTTGTTAATATGTCTGGCCCAGTTGCATTGATTATCTGAGTTAAGTTGTTTCTATCGTCTTCAAATAATTCGTTCAGGTATTCTGTCCATCTTTTTATTTTATTCTCTAGATCTACAATAAGATTTTTATCTTTGTCTTTAAGTTTACCCATTTGGCATTTCTTTATGCTTCCTGTTATCTCTTTTATTTATTTGTGAATATTGAACGCATCGTACTTTTTCTCATAGGTTTCTATTTCTTCACACTGTTCTTTAATCCACTCCTCTTTGGCTTCTTTTATTTTCTTTTTTATGTGTTTATTTATTTCTTTGTACTTATCTGGGTAATTCTTCATCCTTCTTCTTTGTTCCATAAAGTCTAGTATATCTTGTGTCATCCACCCCTTATTCTTTATTGTTGTCTTTGTAAGATGTTTCTTTGCTGCTGTTTGTATAGCTAAATTTATGTACTTTAATTTTTGGTTAACGTTATTTGAATCGTTAATTTGTTGCTGCACTGAACGTAGGTTTTCATTTATTACTTCTCCTGTTTCTTGTGGTATATTTTTGTTTCTAAGTTTATTTAAATCTAGTGCCTTTCTGTGTGGTCTTCTAATCTTTTTTGGTCTCGCCTCTATCACAGTAACTACCGGGTTATGATCTGAGCCTATATCAGCTCCTGGGTACGTCTTAGTACATTTAACAGCATTACGATACCTCCTTGCTATCATAATGTACTCTATTTTATTTCTCACTATTTTTTCTTTAGTATGTTGTGGAGATGTCCATGTGTATAACCTTTGAGGAGGTAATTTGAAAAAGGTATTTGTTATTACGAAGTCTTCACTTTGGCAAAATTGAATTAATCGATCTCCTCTGTCATTTCTGTTTCCAAGCTCTGATTTTCCTACTTGTCTCCTACCTTACCTTGACCCACCTTGGCATTAAGATCGCCCATTATTATGTTAATGTGTTGTTTTTTTTATTGTTTTTAGTACTTCTTCTAAATCGTTGTAGGATTGTTCTATTTCATTGTCATGTTTATCTGCTGTTGGTGCATAGACTTGAATAAGATTTATTATATATGTCTTTCTTTAATTTGTATTAATATTAAGCTCTCTGAATAAGGAGTACAGGTGATCAGAGAACTTTTCCATTGCTTCGAAATGAGGATTCCAACTCCGTAACGATGGATGTTGTTGTCGATTCCGGAGTAATAAAATACGCCATCATTTCGTGTTGAACATTTCCCAGATCCTGGCTATTGGGTATCGCTTATTCCTAAAACATCGATGTTTAGTCTATTCATTTCTTATTCAACATTATCCAGTTTTCCTGCAGAGAAAAAACTTTTAACATTCCACGTTGCAACTCTTAAAGTTGTTGGTTTCTGCGCTCTTGTACAAGGATTTCGCATGTTTACGAACAAGTGAGCCTTGTAGTCTTGTGTTTTTCTCACTCTGCCGGACCTTGGTATCCTATTCCCATGATCAGTAATGTTTCCAGTATTTTTGTTGTACACCATAATGACTTAACTAGGGGTACTCTATGAGTCTTTAATGCAGTATTTCCCCGTTGCCTTCTGCATCCTTCCGCCGTTGACCATCCTTTGTTCATCCTCATTCGACACCGATTTCTCGATCTCTAGACAAAAGAGTGCCCTTCCACATATAAGCTCCTCCGCCCGAAGCTGTTGGCCAGTAAATAGTGGGATCGCTTATACCCTGCAATCATTCGGTGAATTACCTGTTCGTAGAAGTAGAGTTCGTGATTGTACCTAAATCTCCATACCCCGTTTTCGTTAATAGGTCCAAATATCTTTCTTAAGATTTTTGTTTCGAACACTTATAGTTTTCTTTATCATAACATACTATTGGTGTGACAAAACTTTTGTAGACCCTAATTTTCAATCTCCAGTGTGTGCTATTGAAGGAAAACTTATTAGTGAGTGAACAATAAACTTTGTTTCTGTTTTGAAATGAGCAAAGATAAAAGAAATATAATTATTATTAGATAGATTATTTAAATTATATTGAAGATACTAACTGCTTATGAGACGAATTACAAAGTCAAAAGAAATATGTGTGGATGGGTTTATGTATGTATGTATGAAAATAAGTCAAATTTGAAATCATAAAAAGACATTAGATATTGATTAAATATGAAATCTAAACATACCCCAATTAATATTTAATAAATAAAATAAATTTTAAATCAAACCATGGCTTTTTATAGATGAACCAATTTATAAAAAATATAAATAATATAAAAATAAAATATAAAATTGACAAATTACGTTTGTTGACTAAAGTGGGAAAATGTTCTATCATCTCATAGAACATAATAGTGAATAACTAAAGGAATTAGAATATATAGTAAAAAGAAAAATTGGAATTTAGATAGCAGAATATATATTAAATAGAAGATTATTCAAAAAATTGAGTAATTAATTTTATTAATTGATTGTGTAAAAAGTAATTTAGTAAATTTATCTTATTTTAGGGGCGAAGTGGAAAAAGCGAAGGCGTATGCTTACTCCTGCTTTTCACTTTTCCATTTTAGAAAACTTTCTTGAAGTCTTCGATAGCGTTGGAGATATATTTATACAAAAACTTCGAAGGGAAGTAGGCAAAAAGAGTGTCGATATCAGCGAGCTCGTATCTCTTTACACGCTGGATGTTATATGTGGTACGTAAATATAATATATACACACACTCAAAAATGTTTTGCATATTATCTGTAACGCCACTGAACGTTTCTAATTTGAAATTTTTTGCACTGATTTTTTTTGTCTACTGAAATAATGTATTTTACTGCTTGTTTTTTGTTTCTTAATCGTCGCAGAGATTCTTAGTATTCATTTTGTGTTCATCAGTATTCGAAAATTGATATTTGTAAAAATTGGTTTGCGTCTTATTCACTTTGTAGTAAACAATATGAATAGACAAGTGACATCTGAGTTTAACAGAGCTAAAATCGTTACTTTGATTGAGGAAGGCCACACACAAGTCGACATTGCTGTCCGGGTTGGAGTTAATCAGAGTGATGTGTCTCGGATTGTGAAAAAATATCGAGAGACGAATTCTGTTAGAGAAGACCCAGAATTACTACCAATGTCCAAGAACGCTTTTTAACGTTAACTGCCCAGAGAAACCCCTCTATGACTGCCCCAGCTATTAGAAGAGAGCTCCAGCAAGCTCATAATATTGTAATTTGCGATCAGGCTGTTAGAAACAGGTTACATTCGGCGAATTTATTTACAAGAAGACCATTGTTTGGACCAAAGCTTACATTAGAGCAGAAAAGGACTCGACTGGAATGGGCCAATGAACATTTACAATGTCATGACAACGATGGGGAAACGTCTTATTTTCTGATGAAACCAAAATTAGCCTTTTGTCGGATAATCGCCGAATTAGGATTTGGAGGAACCCAAATCGACAGGATAGACTTAAGCAAGCTGTCCAAAGAGTCCCATATCAAGGTGGCTCTATAATGTTTTGGGGCGACATCATGCTAAATAATAAAACTCCTTTAATTCCTATTGTTGGTAACATAAATGGACAAATTATATTACTACCATTCTTAAGTCTGTTGTACGCTTGTGGCGAGGAGCTGTTGGTCCAGAATTTATTTTTATGGACGAAAATGCGCCTCCCCATCGTACGAGACATGTAGCAGATATTTTAGAGACAAAAGATATAGTTAGATTACAATGACTACCTTGATCACCTGACCTCAATCCCATTGAGAACGGATGGGATATGCTCAAAAGAAAAATTCAGTCCCGACAGCCACTCCCAATGACACTACAAGACCTTAGAATAGCAGCGATTGAAGAATGGGGCACCATGGATCAGAACTACGTTAATACACTTATTAGAAGCATGGGACATCGCATTCAGTCTTGCATTGATGCAAGAGGTGAAAATACGGCATATTAAGTATTAGTTCCTATATCTGTACAAATTTAAAAAAATATATTTATAATACATATTATAAATAATAATAATAAATTGTTAATTCTTTAAATTTTGTTTATTGTTTCTTTTTCAAAACAAACAATTTTATATATAATAAAGTATTTTGTTACAAAAAAAAAATAGATTTCACCAGATTTGGTGGATAATTTTGAAAATATTGCAATATGCAAAACATTTTTGAGTGTATATAGTTTAATTATTTGGTGAACTATCGACACATTTTAGGAGAGGTTTGTTTAGTTTTGTTACTAGAACAAAATTAGAATTCTAATTTCTAATGGTTTACTAAAAATTATTTGTTATAATTTTAATATCTTTTATTTATATTATATTTTAATGAAAATGTATATTTTTATTTTCATATATGTATAAAAGAAGTTGAATCCAAAAAAAGTTTCTACACATACTCTGCAGTAATATGCATTGTTTATTCTGTTATTAATATAAAAATTACAATACAATACACAAATTAAAATGCAATATTCATAAGTATTTAAAACTGCCAATATACATAACATACTTTACGAAGATAAAAAACCAACAACTCAGATTATGCTGTAAATTTTTATTTTGCTTTAAAATTTTGCATTTTTGCGTATATTACATATATTTAATAAGATTAACGTGAGGTTTTTAAATATTTCAAAAATAAAAAAGGAAATTCATATTTGGATTCGAAATCACGTACACCAGCGTATGAACCAAACACGTAAAAAATTTGCCAATTAGACATGACACTAACAGATTTCAAAATTGATAGTTCTTGGTCAGTGATTATTTTGAAACACAAAAGCCTAAAATATTTTTTATGAACATTTAATAAATAATACAAAACATATCTCATAAATAATTATAATAATATATATTATATTATATAATGGTGAAATAATAGCCGATCTACAAGAAAAGCTTAGGACCTGGACCTTAGGACTATGTAGAAGAATCGTTCGACGATGAAAGACAAGAACCTAATATAGATAACTTGCAAGGCGACGAAGGACCAGAAATAACTAAAGAAGAACTATTATACGCTATAAAAATAATGAAAAAGGGTAAATCACCGGGTCCAGACGGGCTCACATTAGAACTTCTTAAGCTTGTGGAAGGCGAATCAGTGAATATTCTACTCGACCTTTTTAACTGCATCTAAAAAAGAGGAGAAATACCAAAGGAATGGCTACTTTCAACTTTTGTAACCTTACCAAAAAAGGCAAATGCAAAACAGTGCACGGACTACCGCACTATAAGCTTAATGGGGCATACATTAAAAGTATTCATCAAAGTAATCCACTCAAGAATTAACAGAAAAATAGATGCAGATATTAGTAATACTCAATTCGGATTTCGGAACGGGCTTGGAACAAGAGAAGCACTATTTGCACTTAATGTCATATGCCAAAGATGTCTAGATATAAACCAAGATATATATGTATATATATATAATATATATATATATATATATATATATATATATATATGTGCTTCATTGATTACAACAAAGCGTTTGATAAAGTTCGTCACGATCACTTAATGAAACTGCTAGTAGAAAAAAACTTGGATAAAAGGGACATTAGAATTATCTCTAAGATTTACTATAACCAGAAAGCAAATATCCGAATAGAGCAAGAGACAACGGAGGAAATCGAGATCAAGAAAAGCGTAAGACAGGGTTGTATACTCTCACCGACCTTATTCAATCTATACTCCGAAGACATTATAAACACAGCACTTTCGGATCAAAATATAGGTATTAAGATAAATGGCATCCGAATAAACAACTTGAGGTATGCCGATAACACGGTACTAATCGCAGAAACTTGGGAAGATCTTCAAATACTAATTAACAAAATAGTAGAATGCAGTGAAGAACACGGATTATCACTTAACATAAGCAAAACAAAAATAATGCTAATATCTAAATCACCACAAAACTTCCCTGACATAACCGTGCATGATCAAAGAATCGAACGTGTAAGAAGATATAATTACCTGGGAACTGTTATCAACGAAAATAATGATTGCTCTGAAGAAATCAGAACCAGAATAGAGAAAGCTAGAGCCACATTTACTAAATTGAAAAAGGTGTTCTGCGGAAGAGATCTAAGTCTAAAACTTAAAATTCGCCTTTTGAGATGTTACGTTATGTCAGTTCTCCTCTACGGGATGGAAACATGGACATTGAAAAAGATCCATACCAAAAAGAAAGAAGCATTTGAGTTGTGGATGTATCGAAGAATATTAAGAATACCCTGGACAGAGAAATTAACAAATGTGGAGGTTTTGCGAAGAGTGCGGAAAGAGAAAGAGCTGATACGTACTGTTAAAAAGCGCAAACTACAATATTTGGGACATGTTATGAGGGGAGATAAATACCAGTTGCTGCAATTGATTATACAGGGAAAGATAATGGGAAAGAGATCTATAGGAAGAAGAAGGCATTCATGGTTGAAAAACTTGAGAGAATGGTACAATTGCACCAATTACCAACTGTTTAGATCTGCAGCATCAAAAATACGCATAGCTTTGATGATAGCCAAACTTCGGAAGGAAGACGGCACTTGAAGAAGAAGAAGATATATATATATATATATATATATATATATATATATATATATATATATATATATATATATGTATATATATATATATATGTATATATATATATATATATATATATATATATTATATATATATATATATATATAGTTTGAATTTATTTCTTGAACCTTAATATATATTTTTTAGTGGATTCTCTTGGGCTTAGGTTCATAAAAAAATTTAGTTTGATACTAAGACATTTTTATATATTTTTTCCGACGTTTCGGCAGGAAATCCATGCCTTTTTCAAAAATATATATTGACTAAAAAAAACATTTTATGACATACATAATACGGTTTAAGAAATAAACTTTTGACTTACCAAGCATGTAAATATTAGGTATTAACAATTAGACGTCACAATTAAAATAATATTAAAACATAGGACATACCCACTAAGTCACTACAAGTAAAATGTATTTTAAATCTAATGTGTTATTTATTGATGTTAGTTCATCGTTTAAACAATCAGTTATTTTAACATCATAGGCGTTCTGAGATTGACTTTTTATGTGTTTTTAAATTAAGTTAAAATATATTTTGTTTTTGACATGTAACATGTCAAATTTTTGACATGTTAATACCTAATATTTACATGCTTGGTAAGTCAAAAGTTTATTTTTTAAAACGTATTATGTATGTCATAAAATGTTTTCTTTAGTCAATATATATTCTTGAAAAAGGCATGGATTTCCTGCCGTCGGTAAAATATATAAAAATGTCTTAGTATCAAACTAAATTTTTTTATGAACCTTAGCCCAAGAGAATCCACTAAAATATATATATATATATATATATATATATATATATATACTATATATATATATATATATATATAACCGCAAATTGTTACCGGAAGTACTTGTGTACTTCCACAAGTGCTCCTGACGATGGGTTGAACAAACCAAAACACGTGTCGGGCAATGGTGGAGTTCAGATTGAAATGAAATGCAATCTTTTACTTTCATTTACGTCTTTCTCTACGTAAAGAGCGAAAAAGATGGTAATTTTCAAAAGTGAATCGTAGATGCATTTTTATATATATATATATATATATATTATATATATATATTATATTATATATATATAAATATATATATATATATATTATATATATATAAATATATATATATATATATATACATTATATATATATATATATATATATATATATATATATAATATATATATATAGATATATATATATATATATATATATATATATAGATATATATATATATATATAATATATATATATATATTATATATATATAATATTTATAATATTAAATATATATACAAAAAGAACATTTTTATTCTCGATAGAAAAAGAGAGGTAAAATATATCTACTGTGTCTCTCTTACTTATTCTCTTACAGATGTAATGATTTCACAGATTCATTCCCGTACAAATTTCCAACGTCGAGCGCGCATATAGAAGTAGATCTTAATAAGTTTTTAAATAATTAATTAAAACTAGATATTTAATAAAAAAAACACACTTATTAGACCGAATAAACCATAAAAAATAAAATTTAATACAAAAGAGAAAAATTATATATAGAAATAAATTATCTTATTACTCCTAACCTTTACCGTTAAGCTGGGAAGTGTTTTATTAAAAACTTTATTTGAAGAAAATTCATTCGATTCAATAAACATACTATTATAGTAATTTCGCAGGGACATTAAACCTTGCTATATGGCTAGTTTCAGTTACTAATATGATGAACATCACCATTATACAGAAGAAGTTTGAACTTCATTGTAAGTTTTTTAAATTATGCTATACCGCCAACCTCTGGGATTTTTCTTTTTATTACTTAAAAAATAAGTTTAAATAATTACTATTATTCGGCGAGGTAATGAAGCAATAAACCTATCAAATTTTTGCAGTTAAATGAATCTCAATAAATTTTGTTGCATTCGTTTCGTAATAATATCAGGAAATTTTGTAAATAAAAATTATGATGTGAAAATTAAAAGTATTCAGAGACCTCAAGAAACCCGAGTAGTAATATTGAACTCGTTTTTGTCAAATGTTTCTCATTTGAAAATGTATTATTTTTCAAAAACGGATTATATGTTATCAACGGATTTAAAGTGATAAGGATATAGCCCCTTAACAGAGGGTTCTTAGCATATGTTCTCAGATGCATAATATATTAAACAGGCGAACAAAAAACTATCATCTTCTTAGTACGAAACCGGTGATAGACAACCGTTAACATCAGTCGAGTCATCTTCTACAGGACAGGCAGGCAAATCGTCTTTGGGGTTGACTCTACCACCATGTCGCACATCACAAGAAATTAGCTCCTGGAACGCAACCAGTTCATTCTACATATGTCCTGTCCCGAAAATACAAAAAGGGAACCTCAACTAGAAGGCGCACTTTGGAAAATGCTTTTTTTTTTGTTCAATAATTTAATTTTCATACTTACATCATAACTTGGAATAATAAAATTTTCTGACACTCTTACAAATTGAAAACAAGTTTCATTGAGGTTCATCCAAAATTTTGTCCGGTTTATTTTGTTTTAAGAAGTTTCTTACGAATCGAAAACAAGTTTCATTGAGGTTCATCCAAAATTGTGTCCGGTTTATTTGGTTTTAAGAAGTTCTTCTGACTGAAAAACAAGTTTAAGCTCTAAATTAAGAAGAGACAAAAAAATATTTAACTAGTTGATACGATAATTTTTTATTAATTATAAAACATAAAAATTCTGCATGATAATTCTAAACATAAACTCATTTTACAGAGGCTGCCATGGGGATAAAGTTAAATGCCCAAACAGATTCAACGTCTCCATATGTAAGAAGTACCAAATCCATGTGCTACATAATTATAGATCGAGTTTTATCTCCTCTAGACCCTTCATTGTATCCTTTAACTTTAAACTATTACCGTGAAAAGAGAGCATTAAGGGTACTTCACGCCTACACCGATAGTGCTATCGACAAAAGAATATCTGAAAAAAAGAAAAAAATAGAAGTTGTAGTCGATGAAAATACCAACATTGGTATAAAGAAAAAACAGGCATTTTTAGATTTGCTTTTAGATTATACAATGGATGGAAAACCCTTATCGAGAACCGATATTAGAGAGGAAGTTGATACTTTTATGTTTGAGGTAATTGAAATTTTGTCATGTATTATATGTCATATATGTTTTATAAAAATTGTTTTATCGATGAAATAATCGACATAAAATGTAAGTAATACGAACAGCTAGATTAAATGTAATAGGGCAGTAACAATAGTATTCCAAAAAAAAAAAAATTGAATACATACAAATAGATCTAATCAAGGTTTTTTATAGGTTATAAATATATAATTTTAAATGACCAAGTCCTTTAAGATATTAAAAAATTCGGCCAAATTACTTTAAATCCAAAAAACAAGATTTTTTAGCTATTTAAGGATTTTTGCTGGGTGAATCATATTATTTAAGATCGATACAATATCTAATTCAATACGTTTTTAATGCATATTCAAAAAATGTATGAAAAATAAAAATTTTAGGTCTTAAAGAAGCAAATATAACTATGGTTTATGCGAAAAACCAGGTTTTCAAGCATTATTTTTACTTTTACTTGGATTTGCCCAACGTTTTTACCTTTCTACAGAATCATTAAGCGATAAGTTTTCAAATATATAAAATAACACAAAACAATGTATTGTCCATATTCAGAGAAGCTAGAAATTTCTTGAAATATGATAAAAATCAGTTTTTAAGTGTTTTTGGAGATTTTACTGGATTGTTCGTAAACTCCTGTCTCATGTTACATGTAGAAAGGTGAAAAAAGTTAGGTAAATTCAATTAAACCTCAAAATAACACAGGAAAACCTGGATTTTTGCTTAAACGATGGTTTAGCTTGCTTTTTTAAGGCCTGAACAATGTTTTTTTTAGATATTTTTTAAATATGAATTGGCGACTCAAAAATCAGAAATATTTATGTTTTTGATTAAATACGAAAATTAAAAAACTAGACCTGCAGTTATCTCCAAACAAAAGCTATATGCTCTTTCAAAAAAAATGCATATTTGGGTTATGTATATAACCTTAATATATGAGTCTAAAAAATATACAAAAGTTTTGTAAAAGCGTCAACTATAAGTATGAGTTATTAAAATTTTTTAAATTGATTGAACGTAAAAAAATGAAAAAAATTGAATTCTGAGCGTAAGGGCATTTTACTAAGGCATTAAATTGCTACTGCTACATCTACTTTTTTTCTGTGCCCTGTCCATGTCATTATCAAATTCTAATGTCACTAGTAAAGTTTCAAAATCTTCTTATAAACGTATCCCTAAATAGGTCTCGTCCAGTGCCGTCTGTAGCAATTGATTTATGCTTGTTTGTTGGATTCGATATGTTTATTAGTTAGAATTGTGAGCGAGGTGGAGGTAGGGATGGGAAAAACCTACCGGTTTTAACCGAAAACCGGTTTTTTTACTTCGCAATAACCGGTTTTATCGGTTGTTTTTTTGTCCCGGTTATAACCGGTTTTTTATTTTTAAAGTAAAAACCGGTTATTAGGTTTTTACGGTGATTAGGTTAGGTATTATTTTGGATTCCAGTCATAATTATTATTCTCAAGTAATTATTTCAAACAAAACCATAATTCAAATTTTATTTTATTTTATAAATACAGATATACTGAATATCATATATATGAGATATATGAGATAAATACTGAAAGTGCAAACTCACATCAGCCAGAAACAATTAAGTTTTATTGTAATATTTCGTTGAAAAGGTATTTAAAATCATAATATTTACATAAGAAACATCATATATTTTTCACACGTGACTCTTGATATTGAAAGTGGGTGAATGGCTTTTGCTGATTACCAAAAATAATGTTCTGACTATGAATATCGAATTACTGATTACGAATATGAATCTCCAAGGATTTCCCTACGTTTTTAAAACGACAGGAAGTAATAAATGAGTTAAAATGTACCTATTATACAAATATACAAACGTGTTAAAAGTAATACATGATATTTTTTTTTGATGGTAGTAAAAATAAAAGATGAATTGCATTATCCAATTTATTTTTAAGTAAAATATTTGTGTTAATATTATTTTTTTAAATCCCATTTGAAAAAGTCTGGGAAATTTTTTATAAATTGCAATGGTTGAGGAATTTTTTGAGTTTGGGAGGAGAGGAAAATTGGTGGATATTTTAAAGGATTATATTTTTAAATGGTAAATCAAATTTGCATCAATAATTGAATACGATAAATGCATATTAAATTCTACTCTCATAATATATTCAATGACAATAGCATCTGAATTATTTCAGCGTTCTCTGTTGAGCAGTAGTATATTATTATATTTAATAATAATCAATAAATATATATTAATAATAGAATAATAAATAAATATAATAATTAATAGAATAAAATGATTTTATTAAAAATTGTGTCTTATTTATATTGATATTGATGTTCTTTCGATAGTACTAATTTTGATAATATTGATATCGAGTCGAATGAAGTATCGCAAACTAAAGTGCATTGTAAATGTAACTTTGTAATCTATTGGATTAAAAAAAAACCGAAAAAACCGGTTTTTTTTTGGCCGGTTATAACCGCCAGGTTAAGCCGTAAGCAAAAAAAACCGGTATAACCGAAAACCGGTGTTTTTTCAAAAACCGCCATCCCTAGGTGGAGGTAAAGTGTGTATGAATGAGTGATGGATGTATGTTTTAGGTGTGCATGTATGTGGTGATGTGTTTTATGTATGCAGATGGGTAAAGGTTTAATTTATAAATGTTGTTGGTGCAGCATGTGGCTATGGCACATCGGAATACATTGACTACATGACATTACATTGGATATTTAGTTTAGGACTCGGATGGTTGCGCTTCTCTTTTTTGGGAAGACGTTGAATAGAATCATGGATATGTAATGTATTATGGATTTCATATCGGAGGATAGGTCGTATGAAGGGATTTGTTTCTCTGTGTACACTGATTGGGTTTGATTATAGTTATTAGGATATGTATTAGGATGTGGACATCTTGGGGAGAAGGCGGGATGGAGATCGTTGCAGTTCGGGCATTTGGGAGCAGACATCGTGGCACAAGCAGAGAACCTATGTCCGAGGCCGCAGAATGGACAAGTAAATGATTTCTCTGGGCATTCGCTGTTTAAATGTCACTTTTGTAGCATCTCGAGCAATATTTCGATCGAACCGGAACAAAGATGTCTAATCGTAGGACATCGCAAGCTAACCGTTCCTCCTCGATCACGACACCGCTTGGGAGTGTTTCGGCGAATTTGAGTTCAGAGTTTGTGAATACTCTGATATAGGAGGTAGGTTGATTTGTAGAACAGGAAATTATATGAACTATCTTTGTAAACGGAAATTTGATTTCGGATAGATTATCCTTGATTGTTTTTGGGAAAGGGTTTTTGCAACGCCGGCTATGACTAAATGAAAGGTTTGAGAATTGTTGGAATTGGGTTGAGAATTTTGGGACTTGCTTGGTTGACGTGCAGCAATTAAGATGATTTCATATGCTGGCGATGTCTATGAGCTTAGTAGTTCGTGCGGAGGCTGCCTTTTGGGAATGGAGGTCTTTTATTGAGTCCAAGTGTGGGAAGAGTTCTTTGATAAGGCGATAGAAAGTTATTTGCTGGCAGATATCTGCGGGGATGAGCTCGATTTTGTAACTTTTGATTTGTGGTGGTTGTTGTGGAGAGGTAGGGAGGGATATTGGCTGAGGGTTGAGAGAGATGGTTTGTGTGTGGATAGGGGGTGGTGGTGGTGTATGTATAGGTGTTATTATGTCTGATATGTGGGAGGGGGTTTAGTTACAGAGGTTGAGGGGTGGAGGATTTTATTGTGGAATGTCTGCTTTCTCAATGTTGCAGACACCTGTGATGTGTATGAGAAACTTAATTGGGAATCGGAATGAGTGCACCATTCGGTGTCTGATTTCGATGATTGAGGGGGATCTTGTTGTTTTCGGGATTTGGATCGTGTGCGTGGCATGATGTGTATGAATGTGTTCTATATGTGTATTAATGAGTGCGTATATGTGTGGATTGATATTTATTAAATGTAGGATTTTGATTAATAAATGTAGGAATTTCTATTGATTGTGATTGGTAAATATATGGAATGTGTGTGTATTAATTTGATGATTAATGAATGTGTGGAAGGTGTGTATGTGAGATTGTATGTGTGTGTGATTGCGTATCTGTGTCTTTACCTGGTAGAGTCTTCGCTTGCGGGTTTCGGTAGAACTCTACGGCGAAGAACTCCAGACAGCCACCAATGTCAATGTCTCCTTGCTCCCTTATATTTCAATAACCAGTTTACAAGGATTTATCGACCAATTGGCGCTACGCCTGTTCGGTTTTGATGCTAGATTGCCAGTTTTGGTACCTTACATGCACATTGTTATACCTGCACGTGGCAAGTTTTGCATCTATTGTTTGTTTCTGGTGGTCCTCACGTCCAGAAAGCGTCACGTCCGACTCCGTGGATTTGTTCTCGGGTTCTCAAGGATTTCGCAACCGTTTGCCACTCGATTTGCCGTTTTACGCGACACGTTTTACGATTTGGACCTTGTTTTTCGATTTTTCTGGAACTACACTACTAGCGTGTACGTTCACGTTGAATGCTTTCGCGGGACTAAACTATACGTATGGATTTTAAATTTATTGCAACTCACCGAAAAAAAAAATTATTTTGGGATAGGGGATGAAAGAAGAAGGTGGCGGCTTAAAATTGTACTAAATTTAATTTTTAAATTACATTAAACGTAAAAAAATGAAATTTTTGGGCATAAGGACATTTTACCAAGGCATTAAATTGCTACTGCTACATCTTCTTTTTTTGTGTCCTGTTCATTTCATTATCAAATCTTAATGTCACTAGTAAAGTTTCAAAATCTTCTTGGAAACGTATACCTAAAGAGGTTTCGTCCAGTGCCCTCTGCAGCAATTGATTTATGCTTCCCTTTCCTGCTTTAAAAACTTCAGTATGATTAGTTAGCACAAAAAGCACTTATTTCTACTAAATCTACCCTCTTAAATAGTAAATTTGTTTCCGTATAGAATTGTATCTCCAATTATATTAAAGGGCCCGTTATTCCACGTAAGAACTTCATTAAGTTATTACTTTTCGTTTTAGAATTTATTGAACGGAGCAGTCTTGATCTAAAATAATAAAATAAAGTGAAGATTAGAAGAAAGCAAAAAAACTTAATTCCTTGTTCGTTTTCTTCCTCTTGTTCTTCTAAATCACTTCCATCTTGTTACGAACCGAAAATGTAATTAATATCAATTGTGTAACATATTATTGCTTATATAACTGAAATCAAATTCTCTCAAGAACTATTTTGCACATTTCGAGGCACTCGGACGCATACTAGATGTCAGAAGGTATTCTGAGACATCTTGTTTTTTATAAAGTAAAAATAAACACTCTGTTAATATTATAACACTCACGTGACAAGTAATAAATGTGTTGCTTGTCTGAGTCCATTTCAAATAGGTAAAAGAAATAATAAATAAAACTTACTCACAATCAGTTTAATTTAACTATCTAGACGACCGGTTTCGCTTTCTACAATTTGGAAAGCATCTTCAGGTCTGTCGATATAAAGTTAATTAAATGCTGAAATAATAAAACCCATATTAGGGTGTTGTCTTATAAAGATAAACATAAAGATAAAATAATATAAATTATAGTAATTATGCCAATATTACATGTCTGTGGTTTTTTTAATATGAATAAACTGTTTAAGCAGACAAAGTAATACACAAAAATTGGTATAAAATAGTCTATTGTTGTGATAAATTAGTAAATACGTTGTCAAACGTTCTTTACTTATAAATATTGCAACTACACATACTAATCAGCAAAAATATCGAGAATACTGAAACGTTCAAGACTTAAAAGCTCTGTATTTGAGAATTGTGTTAAAAAATTTAATAACGTCGGTATATAAAATCGCTAAGTATCGGTTAAAGTATCGGATAAATCTGTTAATAAGGTATCACAAATTGATAAATAAAAATATGAAATAAATATTTTTTTATGTATAGGGTCACGATACAACATCGTCTGCCATAAGTTTTGCAATGTTTGCTTTGGCCACCCATCCCGAAGTTCAGGTAAGAAGAAATAAACTATTCATATTTATTTTTATAGTTGACAATAATTTTATAATATAGTTGACAATAACGCAAACCACGTTTTATACTTTAACTATCATTAAAATTTACATTTTAATAGATACAGCGTTTAATAAAACGTACGTTTAAATGACTGTTGATGTATTTAAGGTAACTATAATTAGGTTGCTATTACATAAAAAAGCATACAGTAATGATATGTCGCTACGAGGATACTGTCCCTCATATTACTTCTATTAGTGTAATTATTGAGGAATTTTACTAAAAGTTAAAAAGTTCGTTGGCGAAAATGAAAATCAGCATGCTAAAACGGCTTCAACAGACACCACATCAACAACTCACATCCAAATTTGCAAATATTTAAAAACAGAAGCATACAGATTTACCAGGAGATTATGGTAAACACACTGAAGCATCTGAAATACCTCCCAACGTGCAATCTAGCCCTCATTATATAATCCATTACATTGGCTCAGCTGACTATCTAGACAAGACCTTACAAAAATTATATAAAAAATCCCTATAGACCACACCAAACTAACACACAGCTTTCTGATGACATCAGATGTCCGGCCTACCTGTCCAACATGCCAATGCCAACTAACAGTGAAACACATGTAGATATATTATGTACAGCAGATATACTGAATATTTCGTTCTAGCAGGCTTCCATTATTTTAAATCTTCCGAGTAAATATGTTACCTACTAAGACAATAATCATATTCTTTTTTTTTAGAAAAAAGCATTTATGGAACAAAAGGAAATGTTTGGTAACTTTGCAGATGCTAAGCCCACTATATCTCAGTTGCAGGATATGAAATATTTAGACCTAATAATAAAAGAAACTTTAAGATTATATCCTTCAGTACCTATATTAGGACGACGATTACCAGAAGATATGGAATATGGTAATATATGTTATTGCTTTAAAAACTAGTTTGTTAAAAGTAGATTGTAAAAAAGTTAAAAATGAATAATTAAACGAATCCTCATTTTACAAATTTTGCTTAACTGTTTAAGGTTTTAACAATATTTGTAGTGAAATTTTAAATCCGACATAAAAAACATGAAGTGTAACGTAGTTATGTACTGAATATGTTTCATAATACGAATTCTACTTCCATTGTTGATGAAGTACCTAATATATATATATATATAATAATATATATATATATATATATATATAATATATATATAAATATATATATATATATATATATATATATATATATATATAATATATATATATATAATATATATATATATATAATATATATATATATATATATATATATATATATATATATATATATACATATATATACATACATAATATATATATATATATATATATATATATATATATAATGAACTAGAAGTATTTGCTGACAACAAGGAAGTAAATTTTCAATATTGGGTTTGCAGCAATAAAAATGATACGTGTACTCTTTTAAATTTTTATTCCGAGCTTTCGGACATGGTTATGTCCTTCATCAGGGAGCTACAAATGTGATGAATAGTTTGTAACAAGTTTGTATAATTAATTAAAAATTCGCTACTTACAAACTTAATGAGGTTGGATCATCAATGATTTTCTACAATGTCGATAAAACTTATCACAGTCTCTCATATTTTTATATAAAACTTATTCCTATATTTAAAATTTTTAAAAATTGCTTTACAATCACAAACACTTACTTATTATACACACATTTCTGACATTTTTATTCTTAATTTTATTATATCGTCATTAGTTTTTTTTGAAGACAAAACCACTGAATTGTCTTGAGAAAAAACTAATCACGATATAATAAAATTAAGAATAAAAATGTCAGAAATGTGTGTAGAATAAGTAAGTGTTTGTGATTGTAAAGCAATTTTTAAAAATTTTAAATATAGGAATTAGTTTTATGTAAAAATATGACAGACTGTGATTTTATCGACATTGTAGAAAATCATTTATGAGACAACCTCATTAAGTTTGTAAGTAGCGAATTTTTAATTAATTATACAAACTTGTAACAAACTATTCATCACATTTGTAGCTCCCTGATGAAGGACATAACCATGTCCGAAAACTCGGAATAAAAATTTAAAAGAGTACACTACACGTATCATTTTTATTGCTGCTAACTCAGTATTGAAAATTTACTTATATATATATATATATATATATATATATATATATATATATATTATATATATCAAGTATTATATTGATACATCCCATTTTTTATCTTTTTTGTCTTAAAACCCTTAACTGTTTTAAACTCATTCATACATACTTGTAAATGTGATAACACGAACGCACAGTGATCTATTTATAAGACGAGTCAAAATTCAAAAATGCAAAAATATAAAACAATTTCATAAATATATCCATATTAAGAACAACATAACTTATAATTAGGTATTTTGAATACATAATAATAAGTAAAATTTTGAAATTAAAAAAAAACTAATTTGGGCGTTAAAGGCTTATGTTAATACAGGTAGTAATGCCCAAATAATAGTTCAAGATCATTAATTTACTGAAGGTAGAATTGAGAAAAACATATTATAAACCAGCGTCCTATTTATATATCATTAAAAATTATTTTTTAATTAATTATTTTTTTAACCCTTAAAATTTGTTTAAATTTAAAGGCACATTTTCCATAGATACTTTAGGCTGTAATATTTTTTTGAGTATTATTTTGTTCCTAGTATTCTTTTAGTAATATAAATTATCAACATCGCAAAAACTTGCAGTTTAGATTTACACATTTAATCATAAAAGTTTCATATCGGCCCTGGCTCGGCGCTATCAGCTTTTTATCGTTTACTGAATTATGTTGAGTAATATTTATTGTAAACTATATTCATGACTAAGTTTCGGAAATATAAATTGTTGAATCATAAATTATAGCTTTTATTTTACTGATCTATAAATAGGACACTGATATATAAGGTTATCAAAATTTGCAGCCTTTCAGCATTCAGTGGAATGTGAATATGTGCACATAAGTCGTTTTTTTATTTTGTATCTGTTTATTGCGATTTGTAAAAAAAGTTTTATATTTTATGATATTTGGGAGAAATTACTTCACATGAATAAATTAGTGAGAAATTATTATTTTAAAGAATATTATTTTGGATATAACTCATTCAAGCAATTTATACATACGTGAAAAGCTTATTCGAATCGGCTAGAAATCTTGTGATTTTTGTAGAAGTCGAGGATACTGACGAAACTGTTATAATTTTGGCTTTGGTACTGTCAAAACAATCGCTACAAATAATTGCGAATATTTAACTTGATAGAATGGTACTTGATATGTTAGATTGCATTTCTAAACCTTACACCCACTGTTTATTTTTTAAAAATTTATTTACCAGCAGAGATTTATTATATTATTTACCAAAAACATTGTTGCTTCGATACAGTCCTCGTAGACACACCGTCTCAGGACTAGCAACTTCAACGTGAAGTAATATGTCGCCATGTTACCTTATCCAACAGTAACTTTAACATCTTAACATATTATAAGAAATACTGTAAACCACATGTAACTAATTATTTGTTAACGGGTTTTTACCCATATATTTAGTGGCTACATTCATGTACTCCTAGACACTGATGATGGAATATGGATTGCGAAAACGTTTTGTATAATTAGCCCGTTGGGGTTTTTAAATATATACCTTTTATAAAGGTTTTTTAATATTTTTTTTTAATTTTGTACAGTTATATTAATACGGGTAGGTTTATGAAGTACAGAGAAATCGTGTTTGTTTTTAAGTGTTAAAATTTGTCGACAACCTAAAAGCCTTTCTAGTAAAGAACCTTTTAGAGCATAATATTAGAAATGCAATTATAACATCTGAAATCTTACATCTTTTTAAAATTTACATAAACCAGGACTACTTTTATTTTAACCAAGATTTCAAAACATTTGTATTCAAACAGTTTTTATATTAGTGGAGATACGTAGACCATGTACCGGTATGTTTGACAGAAACTAACATTCAACTTGACCAATTCTTATTGTAAATGGCTTGAAAACAAACATGAGTTCTTAGTATTTTATAAAACAACCCAATTTGACAATCAGACGTAAGAATTTATAATAGTTAATACACTTTTTAAGCTACCAAAAATAAGATGGTATACATGGAAATCTCCCGGTGATACAACGAATAGAATAATCCCAAATTAAATTGACTTTGTCCTTATTAGACAAAGATTTCGCAATTCTATACTGTCTGTCAAAACTTACCCTGGAGCAGACATTGGTTCAGACCGTAACCCCAGAGTAGTCCCATTATGAACCAAATTAAAACTGGTTAAAAACCCACACAAAGTAGAATTGATATTTAGGGATTAAGGCAACCACAAACAAAAGAACAAACTGTAAAAACTCTTACTGAAAATATACGTAATGCCCAAGAACTGAATAAAAAGAGCTATAACATTGATCAGAAATTGGAAAATATAAAAGTAGTAATAATTAAAACAGCAAATAAAAACTTGAGACCAAAGAATAGAAATCATAAAGACTAGATGACTGAAAAAAAAAATATTAATGAGTGGAAGAAAATCATTTAAAACACAAAATCCAATTAAATATAATGAAGCTGATTGATTAATTAAAAAGAGAATAAAAGAAGCTAAGGAGAGAATGTTACATGAGCAGTGCCAAGAACTAGAAGAAATTGAGAAAAAATATGACTTTTTAACATGCATAAAATAATTAGAAAATTAACAGAAATGAGAAAAATACTTCAAACTAGGCAACTAAGAGATGAAAGTGATGCAATTATAACAGTTATAAACCAAAAAATGCAGAGATGGACACAATATATTAACACAACTTTTTGAAGACAAAGAGAGAACAGAAGCACCAAAAGAATTTAAGGATGATACTGGGCCTGACATTATACGAGAAGAAATTGAATATGCAATGAAACAAGCTAAAGGTGGTAAATCTCCCGGGCCTGATGAAGTTTCTTACCGAATTACTCAAAATTGTGAATACTGAATCTATTGATCTTCTTTTGAATGTATTCAATACCATATATAGAACAAGTATAATACCTAAAGAATGGCTCCAATCAATATTCATACTGCTTCCCAAAAAATCCAATGTAAAGGAGTGCAATGAACATACCATAGCCTTAATGAGTCATGTCTTGGAATTGTTTTTAAAAGTAATTCACAATAGAATACATAAGAAATTAGATGGAGGCATAAGTAATACACAAATGGGATTTAAGAAAGGACTGGGAACACGAGATGCATTGTTTGCAGTAAGTGTTTTTTCGCAGAGATGCTTAGATATTAATCAGGAAGTATATGCCTGTTTCATTGATTTTAAGAAGGCATTTGACAGAGTGTAGCATAATCGGCTTAAATAAATTTTATTAAATAAAAACATAGACAGTAGAGACATCTATATCTATATCTATATCATATGTAACCTGTATTGTAACCAAACAGCAAAAGTGAAAGTTGAAAATGAACTGACCGAGGTAATCCAGATTCGCCGTGGGGTCCGCCTACGGTGTATTTTATCACCCTTGTTATTCAATTTATACAGTGAAGCCATCTCAGAATTAGTGCTTGCCGAGATCAGTGAGGGCCTTATTATATACGGTGAGTCACTTAATAACATAAGATATGCTGACGACACCGTCCTTCTGGCAGGAACATTAGAAGAACTGCAACACCTTGCTGAACAATTAAATTTATATTGCAACGATTATGGACTAAAAATAAATTTGAATAAAACCAAGTTCATGGTATTTACATAAGTGGAAATATCAAAGTTAAGCTAGTACTAGATAATACAGAAATTAAACAAATATCTTCGTACAAATACCTTGGAGCATGGATTGTAGACAAGATACTGATCAGACAAAAGAAATAAGATGCCGCATTGAAACTGCACGGTCAACTTTTAATAGATTGAGAAAAATTTTTTGTAATCGCGATATCAATATAGCTCCGGATAAGAATGCTACGATGTTATATTTTCTCTACCCTTTTATATGAAGTTAAAGCTTGGACACTTAAAAAATCCAACATGAAAAATCTAGAAGCAAATTCCATAAAAATCAGGAAATTTTAATACTTGGGGCACATCATGAGAGGTGAAAAATACGAACTACTAAGAAATATAATGCAGGGTAAAATCAAAGACAGAAGAAGCGTAGGAAGACGTAAAATCTCAAGGCTACTCAATCTCCGTGAATGGTTTGGATGCAGTTCAATGAAACTGGTAACTTAAAGACGAAGAACCCATAGTGACACAACTATACACCATCCCATCCCATACAACATAAATTGGCAGCCTACCATATCATGACATGTTACATAGAATATTGGAAATTACTATATCAAAAAAGAACTCTGAGATAGAATTGAATATAATTAAGCAAATAACAGTAAACAATAGGTACAACGATCAAACAATAAATAAAATGTTTAATCAAAAAGTAAATAAGAAAGCCCTGAAATTAGTATTTCCACCACCAGAGAAAAAAAAACTAGTACATTCTGCTTGATTTCATATACAGGCACAATATTAACAAAAATACCGGAATACATAAAAAAAAATAAATAATACCAACTTTCAGAACAAACAACAAATTAGGCAAATATATTCAAAATAAGAAAAGCTAAAAGAAGAAGCACTTTCACAGTATTTTTTACAAACCTAAATGTGACGATGGGATACTTTTTTTTAAATACTATTAAAAATAGCGTAATTAATTTTTGGCACTATTTGTAAATTTTAAGATTTCTTGGACAATTTTTAAGCGTTTAGTTAAAAGACACAGCTTTAAAAAAATGCAAAATGGAAATAGTCAGTGTCTAAAAAAAAGGTTTTCTACATCATGTTAGTGACATAGGATATGCTAAGATGGGGTACCATCAACAATGTAAAATTTCAAAATAAATATTATTATTAGTTTTTAATTAAAACTGTTTATTTATGAAAATGACATAAAAATATATCTAACAAAAAGTGTTTTTTCTTAAATTAATTAAAAATCTGTTTATCTAAGAATAACACACAATAAATCTATTTATCAGAGTAGAAGTCTCAAATATTCCGGTCTCTTTCATACCCACAACATTCAACGTGAGCCCAGTTAAAACAGCCCTGACACATAACCCATTAATCACCTCTGATATCTTCAGAATATGGAATTTCGCAAAAAGTGCAAATAGCTCCTTCTTCAAAGTTTTCTTCCAGGTCTACATCTGAATCATAATGCTCTACTACAGGGACCGAATTTAAAGATGAAGAACTACTGGTTAGTTTTTTTTTGTTTATTTGTTTTTGAATTACTTACCTTCCTGTTAACACCAGAAGTTAACGGTAATTTCTTTTTTTCAATACTGCTCTCTAATTCATCGTTGTATGGAGTGCTTGTTACAATGACAGCTTTGCCACTTGTACACTTTTTTTGTGATATTTTTAGAGGCTGTTTGAACAGGCATCAAATATACATCTGCATTTCAGGGGATATTTCTTCTGATACATTTTTACAATGTTGCTTTTCGTCTAATCGTCCTCTATTTATTATTTGCTCATTGACTGTTTCCGCAGACGGACTGCCATTCATTAGTTCTATTTTAATATTCTTCCATAGCAAAATTAAAAACGGTACATATTCACAGATGTTTATATTGCCCAATGGTGAGACCGGTTTCAACGTTTTCTTTGATAAATGATTTAATTCGCGCATATGATATTTTTTAAGACATTCTTAGTGATAATAATTCCTTGTGCCTTGCAAGAAATCCAGCAAACCATTTCTTTCCAGCACTTTCGTTGGCTAAACTGAATAAATTTTTTATCTTATTTGCTTTGTCATGTTTCTGATATTGGCATATAACTATTATAGTAATTCCAAAAAAATCTTCTTTTCATTTGTTAGCAGCAATTGGCGAGCATTGACTCAATTTCTTCTGAAAATGCTATTTTTCGTCCTAAATGAGAATTTACTACGTCTTCAGGATTCCCCTTAATCTTAATGTACCTTATTAAGGTTGTTTGAGGTACCTTTATTGTGGGTTCGCGTACTTTTTATGAAGCCCATTACTCCTTGCAGAATAGCTATCATTGTAAAAAATCATCTGTTCCTTGTTCGAGGCTTTCCATTTTTTAGGAATTTGAAAAAAAATATGTTTTTATTGCAACAGAAAAAATTGTCTTTTAATTAAATATGGATAAATTAAAACTATTAAAACTGTTGGAAGTCTAAACCACAGAATAAATAACAATCAGAATGCCCATTTTCAGATGCCGCCTTTAAGTTTGTCAGCACGCGAACGCCTTGTTTTGGATGGAAACAGACTCGAATTGAGAAATTAATGGCAAGCTACGACAGAACTGTAATTTAAATTTTTACAGATTGATAATTTAGTACATTTGAATAACTAAATCTATTCTTCAACTAAAGGTAATAAAATAGTGCATATTATGTCTGTAGTTGCCGTAAATAAACTAAACCGGGTAAATTTGTCTATCCATACCAGATAAAATATCACTGAACAGCACTGGTTTCGACTAAAACATGAGTGATTTCGACTGCGTGAACGAGATACGCGAACTTATTTTTTCAAGCAGAGTGGGCATTCTCATTGTTTATTATTCTGTGTCCAAACTACTAGAATTTTTTTAAATCTAAACGTATGTACTTTTATTATATTTACTTTTCGAGAAAATTGAAATTCCGAAAATGCGTTGACATCTGTCAGCCCACCGGCTTACTTGTAAATGCATCTAAAAGTAAATAATCATAGCGGTACAAGGTCAAATATGGGGTACCCCAAATTTAGTAATTGTCATGTACCCCATATTACGAACACACTAGACTTGTTTGACGGGCGACTTTTTGCAAAAAGCATGGTTCTGTTTTAAAAAACCTAAACTATTTTAATAAACCATGCAAAATTTTGTATAGACTAGTACTACACACTTTAAAAACTCACCTTTAAGTCCCCTTAAATACCCAAAATGCAGCACTACCAATAAATTTTCTCTATCAGACAAAATTATTCTAACGTCAAACCAAAGAAGGTTAAACTTAATAAGAGAACAAGTTTAAGCAAAAAGGAAAAATGGTTACCTTCTTGCAAGGTAGTGGTTGGTAAACAATGCATATGACAGAAGTAGGAATCAGTACTTACCAAAAGTGACCTACTCCATAGTAGGCACTATCCCCATATTAGGTGACTTTCCTCAACAGATAGAATAAAATTAAATATTCAATATTGCGATATTTATATCATTTCATTCTTTATTAATTCAGTATTTCATATTTAATTTTTAGATGGACATCTACTTCCAAAGGGTATGAATATCTTGTTGTCTACTTTTGCTATGCATCGATGTGAAGAGTATTTTCCAGAATCTCTCAAGTTTATTCCAGAAAGATTTGAAGACGCAAAATTAACAAATCCATACGTATACACTCCTTTCAGTGCTGGTCCGAGAAATTGCATAGGTAATTTATATATACTATTGTTTGCTTTTGTGGTTTCAGCAGAATTCAATAGGAATCAGTAGGAATAAAGTAAAAACAACAATTAAGGAAGTAGGAATAAAGTAAAAACAACAATAAAGGAAGTAGGAATAGTTTCTTCTTTTCCAAAATTGATGATTCCCAGTTTTTTGTATATGCTATGTTGGAAAACAATTTCACATGATTTACATTTTTTTTTTGGTTTAACTATTTTTTATTGTTTGTCCAGTATTTTTAATTGTATTCAACTTTCTTAATTTCTTTCTTTATATAGCTTAAATATATCTAGGACAACTAACTCTGGAGTACAATGTTTGTCCAGTCGCTGTTTTTGAAATTTATAAAATAGAGTTATCGTAATTTTAAAATACATTTATATCCTCAAAAACATTTTTGTACCCCGGAGGGGCACTTTTCTGGCTCTACACAGAGGTAAACCATACTATAGCCAGAGACAATTTTACTACAAGTTACTTACTTTTTAATAAACACCAAGTCCACTTCCAGTCAGAGGTAGACAACACCATGTAGACTTGGTGGTGTTCACCTCTACTAAATGTGTGCGCTGTTATTTATCATCCGGACATAGTGTTAACACCCTGGTACCTGGAGTAATTGTCATGAACTAAAATAGTTGTAACCATTTTATATAGTTGGTATAGTTGGCAATAGTGTTAGATTGTTAAAAGTTAAACATCCGTTGCTTAATAATTGGAAAATGGATCTGAACTCTCAGACGACAATGATGTGAGATGTATAGGTAAACCATCGAAAACAAAGGTAAAAGAGAAAGCTATTACTACTTCTACGACTAGTAAGGCGATAAAAAAAAATTTTCTTGAGGATGATTTATCCCTAAGCATTCCATTCCATTGTTAACCATTCCATTATTAACATAATGAAGTCATTTTAGAAGAAGAGAAAAGTGTCGAAAGAAAGGTATAAAATGTATCAAAGTGCAAACAAATAGGTAAAAAACGTGTAGTGACTGAACAAAATTGGGCCTGAAACGTTCGCAAACGGAAAAAAGCTGGTGGAAAAGAATCTCTCAGTAAAAAAGGCGAAAACATGTCTGCAAAAATGTTAAAATCTTCTGGCACTTGTCTCATGAAATGCTGTAAAAGATTTCCACAATACGAAAGACAAAAAATCTTTAACTCATACTGTACTGAGACAAACGTTTTAGATATTAAAAAGCAATTTATCTTTTTATGTGTCGACATCCAACCTACTCTTCGATCAAGAAAAAGAGACCCAAACTCTACCAAATCTAAAAATAATACAATACACTACCATTTTACATTCATCAATGAAGGTGTGGAAGGTTACATTATTAAATACACGTTGTATATCTAATAGTGAACATGTTGAAAAAAAATAGCTAGGGGTTTAATAAAAGCTGATCAAAGAGGTGGGATTAGACACACGGTAATCAATAAAACTCATACCGAAACGTTAAATAGTACACATCAACATATTGCTATATTTTTATTAATTCTAATTTATTGTTCTTAATTTAATTTACTAAAGGTTCTATTTATAACATTCACAAATTTATTAAAGTCTTTATTTGTACTAATTTATTTTACAATAATTTATTACGAACGTACATTTAATTACACGAGCCCGAATTTGTCTTCTTACTAACTGACCACAATAAAAATCCTGTATTTATATCCAAACACCGTTATCTAGAAGGGTCTGGGGAATCCTTCCGATTATACCAGAAAGTAAGTTGGCTGGGTCATCGTTCGACCGGTTTCTGAAAATTTCGAACGACCGTTTCAGGTATATTTCTACCACCTAATCGAAGGGTCTCGCCGAATCTACAACATATTTAGTAAATAAACAACATGTTTACAGGTTTTTTAATATGACTAATTTTTACGTAACAATATCCTTTCCAAAGTACGAAAGTCATTATTCCAGAGAAAAGAGCAAGAGAAATTAGCTGGGCACAGAACTTACAATAGAAAAGATGTATCAACTGTACAATGAAACACATGTAGATCCAAAGCTAAGAGCAAAAAAGAGGGTTGTACGCAGATATTTTTAATAAGGACTTCAAGTTATCATTTACACCATCCAAAATAGACACTTGCGATACATGCAGTACATTCACAGTTCTATTAAAAAATAATATTACTGAAGATGAACTAACCAGTGTACAGGCTGATCATGATGCTCACCAAATTAAATCTAAAACTTGGTATAACTAAAAACAATTAAGACTTTATAATGGCTAAGGAGTCACCAAAACACATAGTACTATCTGGTGATTTGCAATAATGTTTGCCTTTACCACTAACAAACAATTGTATAAGTTGTTGCAAAAGGAATCTTTGGGCAATAAATTTTACAATATATAATGCCAGTGATTCTTTTATACAATGTATGATATGTGATAAATCGAAAAGTTCCCGTAGTGTAAATGAAATTGACTGGTCAATTTATAATGGGCTGACAATACAATTCGAGGTAGTCAAGTAAAGTTTCTACCCTCAAATAAAGATGACCACTCCAAAGTTTCCACTGAAAGGCCACACACATATGAAAAAGTAGACAGTGTTTTTGCTTTAATCGAGAAAGAAAAAGAAAGAAACTCTCCAATTTGGCCATTTTAACACCATGAGACTGGAAATAGCTAGTTAGGCAAACATCAGATAAAAACACAGTGCAAAATATGGAACTTGCAGATTTTAAAAACTTCAAAACGCTGTTCAATAAGAAGCTGTCACCTAATCCTCCTTTTGTAAGTAGAAAAAAGAATGTTAACAAAGAGCTTGTTGTAATGCCAACATGTGTTTTCATACAAGTTTAACAAGAACACATTGGAAAGCTCTTTTATAAGACCAATTTTAATAATCAAAATATGTACGAGGTGGACTTCATGACTCATGAGGTATCGAAGACAGCAAGTTACGTTTCCAGTTCAATTAAATCAAGTCTCAGTAATCCAATTACCAGACATAAAACAAAAGTACACTAAATTAATTGCACTGCTGCCTTTGTTCCGCCGGTTTGTCATGCGTTTTATCAAAATTTAACACGTAGCGATGTAGCCACAAACGATTACCTCCAAGAAGATAAAGATGATATGGAGCCTCTTTAACAATTTTGAGACTTGTCGTCTACACTTTTACCTAATTATTATAACATTATATTTGTCTCTAATAAAATACTACTATAGGCTGTTTATTGTGTTTGTCTTGTTTATTTCATAGAGACCTTAACATGCAATGCCACATTTTTAAAACAGTTGTTAGAGGTGCACAACACTATGTCCAACTACACATTTAAAAAGAAAATTATATAATGAACGATAAACTTCAGGTATATAACACTTCATGGAAGGAAAACCGATTATACACACAACAATAATAATATATTAATCTTGATTAAATATAACAAACACTTGAGTATTTACTGAATACAAATTTAAAAAATGTTAAAACCGCTCTCCTGAAAAAGTAAGACAAATGTCTTTCTTTACCTCCGGGTACAGATTTATTTTTAAACTGTCCTCCTGAGAGGTAGACTACCTTAAATACATATACGATTTGGAAATATTTTCTCTGAGATTAATTATTTTGCACGTGAACAGCTGGGTTAGAAGACAGAAAACAATAACCAATACGTGATTAAGAAAACAAAATGTTATTAATACTAGCTATTGTATTTATTAGAAATAAATTAGATTATTTAATTAATCATATGTTATATTTTACATTTCAATTTTAAGTTCGAAAATAATTCTCAAAATAGACAGTAAGAAAATTGGGCAACGTCAAAATAAAAAAATGGTTAAATCCTTATTGCCAGTAGTAGTTTAATTTTATCTGTCTCGTTCATAGTGATAGTTAAAACATAGGATATATTTTAAATTAGATAACTTTAATATAATCTTTTATATTTCCAAGTACCAAGAAATAGCTCTTATTAACAGTAGATAGTACTTACATCATTGTATCTGTTTAATTCTATTATGTGAAAGATTTCGAAAGAAAAGATAAAGGTTTCAAACCAAGGTTAAACAACAAAAACAAAATAGATTTCGAGAGTGAAAGAAATTCGTCAACTATACCATATTTTTAATTAAAATGGTATTTTATTTACAATAAATATGGTAGATATTATTTTTCATTCGAGTATTGTTTGTTATAAATTTGTCGTACTTCAGCCAATTAGGTTATTGCATATCTTCCGTTTATTCATAATACCCACACGAGCATAATTATGGAACCGTCTGTCAACTTATACAGGTTTTATACATGGGTATAATGTATTTTTGGATTCATTTGGAAGTCAAAAAAGTGTTTTCCGACTGAAAACTAGTGCCTTGTAGCGTTTCAGTAATAGATGGTTAACAATTTTTTATTCTCTGCTATATTTTTGTAGCTCGTAGCTAAAGTAATGCTTAAACTTAAAGCACCCAACAAACAAAGAGAGATAAAGAGGATAGAACTAAGAAAGAAAGACGACCTTCTACAGGAAGTACAGAAAAGTATGCCCTCTATTCGTAACGGATCATCACAAGAAATATGGGAGACTGTTAAACATTGCGTAACAACACTAGTGGATCGCTCAAAGAAAAATAATCCGGTGAAACGGAAACACCGGATAACAGATGAAACTCTTAAAATAATTGAGAATAGATGAAATCTTTGTAAAAGTGGTGTACATAGTGAAAGGGAAAAAGCTAGTTTAAGAAACTTCAATAAAGAAATAAAACAAAGATGTAAGGCCGACAAAAAACAGTACTATCAAAGTATATGCAAAGAAATTGAGAGACATGGTCAGAATAATCAGCCGAGAGATCTATTTAGAAAAATACGCTACCTGACAAGAGACTTCAAAGCAAAAACTTGGGCAATTGAAGATAATACTGGAACCCAGAGAACAAACAGAGAAGACATAGCAGAGACATGGAGATCGTATTGCAGGGACCTATATAAAGATGATCAACGATAAGATCTTGTTAGCCAAATCTCTGACGAGGTGGAAGAAGAAGCTGATATACTCGAAAATGAAGTGAGACAGGCTATCAGCAAGCTCAAATATAACAAAGCACCAGGTCCAGATATGATAACAGCAGAAATGCTTAAAGCCACAGAAGAAACCGGCGTAAAGTTACTTCAGCTACTCTGGACAAAATCTACAATAACGACCATACATAAAAAAGGTAGCTTCCATAAATGCGACAATTATAGAACTATCTCTCTTATATCCCATGCCAGCAAGATAATGCTACATATAATCAATGAGAGACTGAAAACATTTCTTTAAAGAGAAATTCCACAAGAGCAAACTGGATTTACCAAAGGTAGAGCCACTCGAGATCACCTGCTGAATATAAGACAGATAATCGAGAAATCTAGGGAATTCAACATCCCACTATACAACTGTTTTATAGATTACCGTAAAGCGTTCGACAGGGTTAAGTGGAGACACTTATGGCGAATACTAAAAGAAGTAGGCGTACCACAACATCTAATTACGCTTATAACTGAACTATATGAACACACTACTAGATAAGACAATCGGAGAGAAGAAAGATAGACGCCACTGAAATGTTCTGTTGGAGACGAATGTTACGAATTCCTTGGACCGACCGTAGAACAAATAATTCAATTTCAAGAGAGCTAAAAGTTAGCCAACGACTCTCTAGTAAAGTCCATCTCCAACAACTAAAATATTTTGGGCATGTTATGAGAGCAAACACAGAAAACATGGAAAGACTCATATTACAAGGAAAGGTAGAAGGCCGAAGATCACGAGGAAGATCTCCCACAAGATGGATAGATCAAATTACAGGGATATGCCAAAGACCTATGCATGAATTAAAAGAAATGACCAGAGACAGAGATCTCTGGAGACGGACAATACACGACATCACGTCGACCACTACACTCCCCCTGGGGGGTCAGGATTGAAGAGAGAGATATTTTTGCAGCTTAAGTCTCCATGAAACAGTCTTATTGTATTTAGAGGACTCCAAATCGGTGCATATCTAGTAAGGAAGCCTGTTTTGAGTTTGGAGTAATTCCTACTTATTTCTCTCTATACTTTTCCCTCTAATATAAATTTTTTCACCTGCTAGGATCCAAGCTATTTCCGGGCGAGAATGGTGCTTCTTACGGGTACACGTAAACTCATCACCAATTACCATAAATACCCTCGTACATAGTACAAACTCATCACCGCCATAAAAGTAGGGATTTTCAAACACACCCAAGAGATTGGTAAACTCATCACTGGCTTATCTGCATCCAGTGGCAGGTATAGACCATAAACCCTTTGCAAACCGCTAAGATTTGGTAATTTGAAAGAATAAATCTAAAATCGATGTATTAAATGCAAATGTAACTTATTGGTTTTTATTTGGGAATTCTTCAAAATTATATTGACAGACCTATATATACTTAAAACTATATGCCTTGAAAAATGTATCTTTATTTGCCCTTGTTCCGTTAACATAGATAGTGAGCTGCTCGTTACGTTTTGAGCCAACGCGGACGAAAAATGATAGATATCAATAATTTTAAATTTCAATTGCGAAATACTCTAAAATCGAATTGCTTTTGTGGACAAGAATAAGACAATTAATATTTACAAAACTGTTAGATACAAACAAAAGTACGTATATAAAATAGGTATGTTACTAATGCATTATCCATTTCAGAAAAATACGGTAATAATAGGTGTGAATCTGTGTAATATTGAAGATGGTGTTCTATTAAAAACTATCTAAATCATGCGACATGCAACATTTTGTATAGCCAAAAATAATTTTTGGTGATCAACCACTTAATTTTAGAAAACTTCTCTATTTTTCTTACTTGACACAATTTCCACGTTTGGTGAACGATGGTAGAGTGAAACACCCTGCATATTTAGAAGTTTAATTCTAAACACAAATGTATGTCAATATTGTTCTTTAATGTCTGTTACGAAATACTTTACATTTCTCTTGCTAGATATTTTTAATAAAAATTCCAATTGACAGGATTGCAAAAAAAATTAAGTATAGATAACTAATTTCTGTGTAGAATTGCAATTGTACTCTTATAATAAGTTTTGCAATACCAGCTGAAGATCCAAATATTTTTTTGACTTAACCATAAATTGATCATTGTTTATAATTCAACCAAGTAGTTTTTTACATAAAACATAAAAATATGCAAAGAACTTATTAAAATTTTAAAACTAAGGACGACTTTATTTTATGTAATAAAGTCCAGTTTTCTGAAAATGGCCGGTATGTGTTTATATTTATATAATTATTTTAGTTCTCAAAATATTCTGCACTGCGTCTTGGGACACAATCACGTAAGCAGCCTTAGAAAACTAAGCCGTCAAGTCAGTAGCAACTCCTGCAAGATGAATGCTCAATAGAGGCCATCAAAAATCATTCACCAAAAGATTGCAACTTATTTTTTCAAAGACTACATGACATCTTCTTTTTATGTCACCTGTACATGAGACAATGGAAAAGCGCAACAAGCAATCCAACAGATGAATCTAAAGACGGACCGCGATAAATGTTTTGTCTTGGATGGTGATTCGCAATAAAGTATTATTATTTTTGACATTCTTGAGAATTTACGATACTTGCGAAAGCAGAGGCATATTAGTTAGATGGTACATTTTACTACGTTTCAAAATGTTTCTTGCAATTATTTACCATCCATAGCTTATTCAATGAGCATCACACCATTAATTCGTTGTTTCGAAGGCGTTGGTGTTATTTTAAGTCAATTTAAACTTGTGGTTGATTTCTTAATTACCGTTCGACCGTCTGTGAACCGAATTGGGTGTTAATTTCACATGACTCAAAGTTGGTTTCGGAAAATCAAAAAACTTGGTTTTGTAACCACTTACAAGAGGGGAGATTCCAACGGCAAGTAGCTGCATCACTTATTTGGCTGGCAATTTTTGGACCCAGAACGAGTCGGTGATTGTTTTGTCAACGATTTCATGCGGATATTCCTAACTTGCCGTCATTTATGAAAATGACCGATTATATGTTAGAGAACTGCGTAACTAATGAGTATCTTTTCTCAATAACTGTTTGGGCATCCCAGTCTAGCCACATACATTATTATCATCATTATCTTTGTCGCGTTTACTATTGCCTTCCATGTTTGTCGGTTCTGTGCCAGTAATTCCCCTTGTGGCATTTTTATTCCCCCCTTTATATTATTATATAAAAAAAAGTGGGTGTATTTATTTAAAAACCCTTAAAAGGGCTACATAAAAAAAACAAACGTTTTCGGACTAAACAGTCCATCATCAGGTTTAAAATCGCTTAGGTTAAAATGCCTGGGCCACCAAAATACATGGGTAAAAACCCTTTAAATTACATATAGTTATAAAAGATTATACATCTTGATATTAAAAAACTGTGATATTCAGTATTAAATTTAATATGACTTCAGGTAACATACATTGTACAAATTGAGTTCCAGAGCCGGGGAGAAAACCTCGGGGAGTTTCATCTCTTGCTATGCCTTTAAATTGGACAATGTGCCAAGATGACCAGGTCATTAGTATAGTCTTAGATACTATATCTATCGTTGCTGATTTAGCTGTCAGCGTATATATATATATATATATATATATATATATATATATTATATATATATAAATATATATATTATATATAACCAGATTCCACAAGATGTGAGAAAAAACTCCACCTGCGGATAGCTTGCTATCTATGCTACACTGTGCTGACATATTAACGTTACTTATATGACACTCTGGATAGCTATGGTATATAACGAGAAGGCATTCGACTCCTCAGAAATTTGGGCCATGCTGAACGCCCTAAGCCACAATATAATTTATGACAGATATACAAAAACCATTAGGTATATATATTACAATGCAACATCGCAATAATAAACAAAAAAACAAAATAAAAATGAAACTACACATAGATGTTAGATAAGGAGATTCAAAAACCATGCTTTTTTTAAGCTTTTTAAGAGTTTTTGCGGAGTTAATAATATTATGTAACAATAAAACACTGAAAACTTTGTTTTCAAACTTCCACAAAAATTTATTTTAACTCTTATCACTACAGGTGTTTCGGCAGATTGCCTTTCTCAAGTGATCTATTTTTGGCATGCGTTTACACTTTATAGTCTCTAATGAAATAGGTTGAGGAGGGGAGAACTGTTTGTCTCGAGTTCGGGTCATTCAGAATTATATCTGTGTTTTTTAATTTGTTGATTTCCATAGATTCTAACGAGGATAGCCAAGGATAGACATTCAAAATAAAGGCCTTAAGCTATAAATAGAGTTAAAATAAATTTTTGTGTAAGTTTGAAAACAAAGTTTTCAGTATTTTATTGTTACATAATATGAATTTTCATTAAGTAACGGTCGAATCCATCAATTAGTTAATAATATTTTTTACATCAATACAACCTAAATAATTTTTAAATTTTTTACGTTTTATGTAATTGTAGTTATATTTTTATCATAATTATCTAATTATGCTTTTAGGTCAAAAAATTACAATACTAAAAGTAAACAGTATTTTATTGAAAATTTTAAGAAATTTTGAGAACTTATATTAAATTAATCATATTTAATTATGCTTTTAGGTCAAAAATTTGCAATACTAGAAGTCAAAAGTACGCTATCCGAAAATTTTAAGAAATTTTGAATTAATGCCAGCAACCCCTGTTCATGAACTACAGCTAGCACCGGAGACTATATTAGTCTCCAAAAATGGAATTCGAATATCCATTAAAGAACGAAGCTAACAAATGAGCTCCACTTTTTAAAATAAAATTAAAAATTGTTTTTAATCACTGTGTTACAATAAAATCTAATACAAATATGTTTCTTTATTTACCTAACCACAGACATAAATATTTAGTTTAAAATATACAGGAGCGCAGTGGCGCACCCAGGGGGATTTGGGGGTTAACCCCCCAGGACCACATTCCGACACTATTACTGACAAATTTTAAGGACTCAAAATGGAGGTAGCATCATAAAAAAAATTGAAATGATTATGTTATATGCTATATTTTCTAGTTAATTATTATAAGAAACTTTTGGTTTTCTCCTCATAGATGATTTTCGATTGAAATGGAAATCATAATCCGGCTTGAAAACCCAAAAACTTACGTATAAATTGTAAGTGATTGTAGTTGTAAATTGTAGTGATAAGATTGTTTAAAAGGTGTGAAAAATAAACTTTGTTAATATGAAAGGCAATTCGAGCACAGTATTAATTTAATCTTGCCCAAGTACTTTCGATCCCTAGATCATCTTCAGGGGCATTTCGTCAATTGCGGTCTATCCGATAAGAGTAAAATGTCATAAACATAAATCCTTTTCCATTTGTTTTAAACTTTTTAATGTTTGGCATTTCTTTCTCCAAGTAGTTGTAGCTTCCTCCGTAGTTAGTGTTAGTTGTTGCCCTGGAAACTATTAGGGTCTTCTAACTCTAATGCCACAAATTTGTTGCATTGCTCCTGTAGTGATCCTTTCCCAAGTTAATGTACTCCTTTTCTAACTTGGCTGCACCGTACTGAAGACGACCAATAGTCAGAAATACGTATATACGGTTGTCTTCCAGTGATATACCAGTTTTGGTTTTTTGTTTTGCGAGACATGCCATTACTTTTTACTTTTATTATTCACTCGCATTATCATTTTCCATTTGTTTTAAACGTTTTAACGTTTGACATTCCTTTCCCCAGGTAGTTGTAGCTTCCTCCGTGGTTAGTGTTGGTTATTGCCCTGGAAACCATCAGGGTCTTCTAACTCTAATGCCACAAATTGGTTGCATTTCCTTCTGTAGTGATCCTTTCCCAAGTTAATGTGCTCCTTTTCTTACTTGGCTGTACCGTACTGAAGACGACCAATAGTCAGAAATACGTATATACGGTTGCCTTCCATTGATATACCAGTTTTGGTTTTTTGTTTTGCGAGACATGCCATTACTTTTTACTGTTATTATTCACTCGCAATATCATTTTCCATTTGTTTTAAACGTTTTAACGTTTGACATTCCTTTCCCCAGGTAGTTGCAGCTTCCTCCGTGGTTAGTGTTGGTTAATCCCCTGGAAACCATCAGGGTCTTCTAACTCTAATGCCACAAATTGGTTGCATTGCTCCTGTAGTGATCCTTTCCCAAGTTAATGTGCTCCTTTTCTAACTTGGCTGCACCGTACTGAAGACGACCAATAGTCAGAAATACGTATATACGGTTGCCTTCCATCGATATACCATTTTTGGATTTTTGTTTTGCGAGACATGATATTACTTTTTACTTCAAACAACAGCTCTAAGATTAGCCGTCGGTGCTTTCAGAACCAGTAATAGAAGCAGCTTACAAGTAATATTAAGAAAACCCCTCTAGTTTAAATTAGAGAGAATCTATTTAGTTTAAACTATGCAGCAAGAATATCTTTCAATAAAAAGCACCCATTATATTCTGCGATTATTAACGCACCTATATTCAATTTGTATAGTAACAAACAAAATAAAGACAAACCCTTTAGGAAAAGAATCAATCAAAAAGGATTCAATTGCAATGAATTCAAATTATCCATAACAACAAACTTAGACTTCTCTCCATGGCTTACCCCCTTACCTATCACCGATTTAACTTTAACAAGGTACACAAAAAATACCAGAAATCCTAACCTTATCATTAATGCATTCAAAGAAATTATGAAGAAGTATCCAAATCATCACATAATATACACAGATGCATCAAAAACTGAAAATGGCCATGCCGCAGCCTTCACAAATATAAATTACAAATATGCCATTAGAATTCCAGAGCACTGCAGCATTTACACCGGGTAAACAACAGCGATATTAGAAGCTATCAAAAACTCCGCTTCAACGACTGAGAATAATATTTTAATCATCACAGATTCACTCAGAGCAATTCATGGAATTATTCAACTTTTCCCTAGTCATCCTATTGTACAAAATATAAGAAATAAACTGAATGTAGTACACCATATAAATAAAAAGATTACATTTATCTGGATATCTTCACACATTGGCATTAAAGGCAACGAGGAAGTTGATCAATTTACATTAAAATTCATCAACAATGAAAATGTTCCAGAAATTACTAAATATTCCCACACCGACCATAAACGACAGTCCATGAATCATATAATAAATTTATGGCAAGCAACTTGGGACGCAACAGACTCTAAGTTGAAAACAATAAAGCCTCGAGTAGACGCCAGCCTACCACAACAAGGGAAAAGAATAGATCAAGTAATCGTAAATCGTCTTCGAATCGGCCACACAATACCAACACACCCACACCTTTTAAATAAAGAATCAGCTCCGATTTGTACCTACTGTCTTCTCAACTCACCGTGAAGCATCTGATAGTCGACAGTCCGCAGTTCCAACCTCAGAGAACATGTCGAGGAATTAGTGGAAACCTGAGAAGTGCACTTACGACAAATATCTCGGATTTATTGCAGTTTCTAAAAGACATAAACATTTATAA